CAACCTTTGTGCAAGGCACCTCGTGTTAACAAAGGAATGTAGTAACTTAGTCTTACCTTGTTTTAGACCCAAAATAATGAATGGCTTTTTAAAAGTTTTTACACTGGGTCATTCTTGCGATTATACTGACAACCACTTTGGTGATTTCATTATTTGCAGGATACAGTTAAAATTACTTGATCAAAAAAACTGTTCATATGGACTGACAAATATTATTCATCATCAGATATAACAGATTGAACAAGTCTTAACAATGCAGTAAGCTTTTTTGCATCTTGAGATAATAGTTGAACTTATTCCAATTACTAGTGGGCATAAAAACAAAATCCTCTTGGCAACTGTTCTTTTCAAATTACCAGAGAGGCTAAAAGAAAAATGGCACCAAAATGAAAACTTCTTTTTTCTAGGTACTGTTTACAAGCTTAGTCTTAGTTGTAACATATGAATGCTTTAAAATTTAGGTGAGAACAAATGGAAAAATATTTTGGAAATTCCATGTTTGTAACTGATTGTTCTTGTTTCATTTCCTTGTGCTTTTTATTCATAAATATTGGTATTAGAAAGTTTCTATTACTAACAAATATGATTTATCTTTTAACAACATTTTGTACAAAACTCTTTTAGACAATGGTGGTTTATTTGACACAGCATGGAATTGATTTTTAAAGTTCAGAAAAAAAGTTGGGCAAAGAGGAAAAGTTACTTGAAAATGTGTTTCTTAAGACTTAAAAATTATATTTTTCATAATTTAAGATGCTATTGAGTTCACCATTTGTAATGCTACTGACAAAGCATTTTTTTCAAAATGGGAGAGTAATTTAAACTTTTCATTAAAAGCCTTTTCAATCTCAACTGAATAAAGCCAGCTGTTCTTTTCACTTCCTCTTCTATAGCAGCACATCATAAACATTTGGACCAGAGCTCTGGATGACACCAAAACTGCTTATCCACAACCTCCTCCTTCCCAGAAATCTGATGGGATAGGCGCTGGCAACAGATAAAGAAAAGATATCTAAATCAGATCCTGCCAAGTGCTTGATCCGGAGGAGGTTACCACCTGTGAGCAACAACACAGTACTATTTGAAAAGCATTGTTTACTGGGGGTGGAGAATAAAACTCACGCCATGGGATACTTGCTCAGGGATGCTTCTCTGTTGCTCTAAGCCTCTGGCCATATCTGAAACTATGTCTAGAATTCAGGATTGCAGCCTTGAAAGATAACAGCAGAAGCCTATTTCAGTCCCCTTTTATTTTGGTTCCAACTTTAGGCCCTCCTTTCTCTCACCTTTCTCGAGTTTCTCTTCACCCACTGGACTTTCTCAATGGGAAACTTCTTCAAGAGGCCACCACTGCTCCCTCTGGGGGAGTCATTCTCTACAAGCCTACTAGGCTAGAACATGATCGCCAGCGACAAGACTCTGATGTGTTTTATCCTCCCTCCCCAATCTTTCTTCTGGACTCAAGCCTTGTATAATTCACTCTTTTGGGTCTTTGTTTAATGTTTCCGCTGGTCTAATCCATCTAACACCCTGCTGTTAGATGTAATCATCCTAAAGTCCATCTCTGATAATGTCACTTTCCAGCTCAAAACCACAAGGCCTCTTTATTGCTTAGAGGAGAAAGCCTAAACTCTCAAAAAGGGATTCAAGGTTCTTTACAAGTTGTCTTCTTTTTTCCCACTACTATTTTTTTTTTCTCTTTTATGTATCCTCATGCCCTAGGTCAATGCTGTCTGGCAGAAATATAATACAAGCCAGGTATATGTTTCAATTATTTAGTAGCAGGGCCAGCGCTATGGCATAATGGGTAAAGCTGCCACCTGCCATGCCAGTATCCCGTAGGGACTCTGGTTTGAGACTTAGTTGCTCCACTTCTGATAAAGCTCTCTGTTATGGCTTGGGAAAGCAATAGAAGTTGGCTCAAATCCTTGGGCCCTGAACCCATATGGGAGACCTGAAAGAAGGTTCTGGCTCCTGGCTTTTAATTGGCTCAGCTCCAGCCATTGTGGCCATTTGGGGAGTGAATCAGCTAATAGAAAATCTCTCTCTCTCTCTCTCTCTCTCTCTGCCTCTGCTTCTCTGTAACTCTGCCTTTCAAATAAATAAAAAAATCTTTTAAAAATTATTTAGTAGCCACATTAAATAAAAGTAAGATTTAGTAGCTGCAACTATTTAATAATCTATTCTATTTATATTGCTTATATATAAAATTTAGTGCACTAATTAAACTATTTATGAACAGACTTCACAAAGTTTGTAGAAAATTAAATTAAAAGATAAAAACAAAGACATAAATTTTATTGTCAGCATAAGCTATATCATATCAAGTTCAAGACATTTTTGTTAAATGAAGGTTTACCAGGCGTTTTTCCACTAAAACTTTAGTTAACTGTTTCAAAACACTCTCCCAGTGATTAGATGGTATTGTTCTTTAGCCCTCCAGAAAGAGAGCAAGCAGAATGCCTTGCAAATCCTAGAAATCTTTTGCTCATGACTGGTCAACTTTTGCATTGACTGGACCACTCTACCTCTTGATAGCCACTACCTTGATTGTACCTTGTTTTCAGGGTTGTACTGCTAAATCCATGTCTCATCTTCTGTTGCATTTCTTCAAAGAACTGCATTAGGATGTTGCTTCTATTCATTGAAAAATTCTACTGAAAGCTCTACTCTTGTCTGTAGGTGATCTGAGAGCAACAGTCTTGGCATTTGTTGAACAGAAAGTTGCTGCACTTTATTTTTTCATAGTGCTTCAAGCAAGATCATGTTCAGACATGTTATACCAAGTTAGTATGAATTATTTCATTACAAAAATTTTTGATACATGCCTAATTTTTTCATAATATGCATTTTCCGTGAACTCTTTTCAAGAATCCATGTATTTATATTTATACTTAAGATATATATTAGTATGTATGTAGTGACTGAATTGGTGTAAATCTTGTAGTCAACATTAGAAATTATTAGTCAGATGCATATGCTTTAGCCAGTTTCCAGGATGACCTTCAGTTTCTACGGATGTTCATGCTCCTGTGAAATGCTGCTCATGCTGTACCAGGGTTGGTCAGAATAACCAACAGAACATGGTGGATGGAATGGCACCTTCTTTAGACTAGGTTATAAAAGCCTTTGTGGCTTTTGTCTTGTTCTCTCTTGCTTTATTTAGACTCGAGGAAAGCAAGCTGCCACAGAGTGAGGGCAGTCAGGCGTTTCTAGAGAAAGGCCCAGAGAGAGGGTAAGCAACCAAAGAGAGACTGAAGTCTCCTGCCTATGGCTGCTTAACTGATTCGTCATGGAAAACTGTCCAGGCATAGTCAAACTTCAGACAACCACAGCCTTGTCTGCTAGCTTTATTGCAAAGTTGTGACACTGTGAGTCAGAACAGCCCAGCTAATCCAAATGCAGAGGCTATGTGAGGTAATCAGTGTTTATTGTTTTAGGATCCAAACTCTTGAAGTAATTTGTTAAGCAACAATTTTAAACTAATATAGACTTAGAGACTGTTATAACAAACAGTGGGGTGCTATTATAACAAAAATCTACAATGCAAGAATGAGTGACTTTGGAATCAAGCAGTGGGTAGAAGCTGGAAGATCTTCAAAGACAGTGTTACTTAATGATTAGGGAACTGGGTAACAACTGTTTTTGAAACATGATACTCTTTCAGGAGCTGTGAATCAAGAGTTAAAGGAAATTGTGGAAACCCTTGTTAATGACAGAAAGCTTAATGACGTTGTTTCCCTGCAATGACCAGGATGGTAGAAAATATACCCAATGAATTGCTCCACTCAACTAAGGAACTTTTCAAACAAAATATCCAAAAGCCAATTGTTTTCTTCTTGCTGCTGATAGGAAAATGAGAGAGACTATTAAAAAGGAAGGAACTAGAACTTGATAATTGTGAAAATTCTCAGCCTTTCTACGTGAAGAATAGCAGTTAAATTGAGATATGGCTTATGAACAAAGACCAAATCCAAGGCACTGCTCATAAAACAAAATTTACAAATGAAGCCATGGATGGAAGTATAAATTCTTTATTAAGACCTCAGAAAGATGATAGATATTTATTACTTCTTGTGCAATATGGTTGAGTCAGAAAAAAGTCCCTCTAAAAGACTTAAGTGTATGTGTTTTGTAACCTCTTTTTTTTTGTTTATTTATTTTATTCAAAAGTCAGAGTTACAGAGAGAGAGAGAGAGAGAGAGAGTGAGAGACAGTGACTGAGAGGTCTTCTATCCACTGGTTCACTCTCCAAATAGCCACAATGGCCAGAGCTGGGTCGATCCAAAGCCAGGAACCAGGAGAATCTTCCAGGTCTCCCACGTGGGTGCTAGGGTACAAGTACTTGGGCCATCTTTCACTGCTTCCCCAGGCCATTAGCAGGGAGCTGGATCTGAAGTGGAGCAGCTGGGGCTTGAACCAGTGCCTATACAGGATGCCATAGCTGCAGGTAGAAGCTTAACCTACTATCCCACAGCACTGGTCTCATTACATTACCTCTTTATTTTTTATATGGTAATATACTCTTACTACCATATATATGTATTTTCCCTTGGCCATCATGTGAGAAGCCCATCGTGGAGATGGACTTGTTGTGAGGATAATTGTAGCTGTGTTTTTTGAGTCATGGAACAAGTTGTAGTAAGAATCACAGGAGATGCACAAAGTTTTAAAGAGAATTATAGCCACAGAAATAGTTTGTACTGAAAAGTACAGTAAAAATGGTAGAAAAAATGAAAGATCTTTCAACCTGCAGAATTCTATAGGCAGGAAGGAGGCTGTGAAAACTGCCCAGCTGCAGGCACAGACTACTTTCTTGGAAAAGGGGGATGAGTCAGGGTGGAAACAAGAACTCAGAGTGAGGAACTTCAAGTCACAAGAGTTATTCCTAGGAAGGAGTAGGACTAAGTAAAGGGACTTCTATCCTTTATGTAGCTCAGTTTCAGAAATATTGTAAACCAGCAATCCTTTGTGCTTCTTGTCTTTTTAAGCAGAAATACCTGTGGTTATCGTGTTTGTCTCATCATTGGAGGCCATGTGTGCGGGGAACATACATTGTCCTCTTAGTTCACGGATCTGCTGATCAGGAAGCCTGTACTTGAATAGCTGTGCTTAAATAACCATACTCAAGGAGCCTCATTTGTACCTGGTTTAGTTGATAAGATTCTGAGCTTTGCCTCTGGAAAGAACAAAAGTAATTTGTGGTCAAGGGGTAAACTGTGTTTAGCATATAAAGGAGAATTTTAAAAATTCTTTGATACTGTTCATTTCAAGAGATGGAGTTAAATTCTTCTACCCTTGAGTGCTGACGGAAGTCAGTGAATGGTTTCTAATGGACAGCATAAAATAGAGATGATGGGCTTGACTCTGAAGGCTTGATTCACAGAAAAGGCACTGTGGCTTTCTGCTTGCTTCTCATCTCCTGGCCCACTCTCCCCGTGGAGAAGACATTTGCCATAATGAGGACTCTTAACTATGAAGATGGAGGTGTAGCCAGGAACAGAGACCCATGACCAACTGCCAATGAGAACTGACAGCCTTGGTGTGAGTCAGGTAGGAGGTGGATCTGCCAGCCCCACTCGGACCTTTGGATGTCTGCAGTTATGACTTACAACTTTATTGCAACCTAAATAGAGATCTTGAATAAGAATTACTGACAAATTCCTAACCCACAGAAACTGTAAGGTGCTAAATGTTAGGTATTTTAAACTTCAAAGTTTTAAGACAATTATTATAGAGAAATAAATTACCAGGGCATTTTACATTCTCTTTTCTAAAATCATAAGTCTTGAATGTGAGTATTTAGCCTACCAGTTAAGCTGCTTGTAACTTCTTATCAGAGCCTGGGTTTGATGTCTGGTTCTGGCACTTGACCCCAGCTTCCTGCCAACAGAGACCCTGGGAGACAGTGCTGATGACTCAAGGAATTAGGTTCATGCCACCCATTTAGAATATTTATATTGAATTTCTGACTTTTGCCAGACCCAGCAGTGGTCATTGCAGGCATTTGGGGGATTGCACCAATGGATGGAAGCACTTTGTTAATCTTCTCAAATAGCTAAATAAATAATAAAATAAAATAATGTCTTTAAAACATATTTTATACTTATGGTACACTTCAGTTTAGATTAACCTTCATTTCACAAATATAGACATATTTGACCAGTGGCTATCATATTAGACAGTATAGCTGCCAGAAAAAAATGATCTCTGTACATAAATACTTTTTAAAGATTTGTTTTATTTATTTGAAAGATAGAGTTACAGAGAGAGAGGTAGAGACAGAGAGAGGTTCTTCAATCCGCTGGTTCACTCCCCCAGATGGCTATAATGGCCAGAGCTGAGCTGATCCGAAGCCAGGAGCTGGGAGCTTCTTCTGGGTCTCCCACATGGGTGCAGGGGCCCAAGGATTTGGGCCATCTTCTACTGCTTTCCCAGGCCATAGCAGAGAGCTGAATTGGAAGAGGAGCAGCCGGGACTAGAACCAGTGCCCATAGAGGATGCTGGCGCTTCAGGCCAGGGCTTTAACCTGCTGCGCCACAGGTCCGGCTCCTGTACATAAATTTAATACACCTAGACATTTTGTATTTTCAGAGTGTTGACCATCTTGTTGCCTTTTCCTGGAATGTCTTTTTATCCCTTCTTCATCTGGTAATAAACTCTTCATCAAAATCCCACCCTATTATTAACATTCTGTGACACCTTCTTCCCAACCATGCAGAATTGATTATTACTCTTTCACGTCTTTCTTAGCGTGTGTAATTAGTTACATGTGTCTCTCTTCATCAAGACTATGAGAATCTCGAAGGCAAGATTTATTCATTCTTTTTTAAATATGCATTAGCTTAACTCACTGCTTAAAACTTAGTGTTCACTAAGTGTTACATACATAAATGTTGCTTTCTTCGGCAGCACATATAGTAGATACATAAATGGTAGGCAACTACTTGGCAGTTGTGCTGGGGAAAGATTTCTTGTACTGCATGAAAAATTATTCTTTAAGATCCCTAACAATTGGCATTATTATATAAGGTATGCCATGGGGACATGAAGTCGCTAATTAAAGGTGTCCAAAAACATATGATGTGTCTCTCCCTATAATGACTGGAGAAGATTCGTTACATGCGACGTGATTGATTGGGTGAATACGGCTGCCCATGGTTCAGTGCATATTGCTTCAGTGAGGAAAGCCCTGAGTCACAGCTACATTTTTTCTGTGCTGAGAAAATGGCCCTTGTGGCAGCATGGACATTCTGCTTTGGGTGTTCTTATGAGCTGAAACCTGTATTAAATACTTTCAATATTTTGCTGGAGATGCCTGAGTCAAAATCAAACAGCATGAATCCTAGATCCGTAAAGACTTACTTCTTTTCCTTTGTTTTTATGAAAAAGAGCTAATTTGTGTGCTCTGTGACTGGATCTTCTCCAAATGCAGAGATAGCTGATAAGAACATGTTAGAAAGAACACGATGTTTCAGACACGGCATTATGAAGCAGGATGTGGAAATTATAAGAATATTACCAGAAAACTCTATACGTAAACAGATACTGTTTCCTTTTATAATTTTGCAGACATGGGAAAGCAGATGGAGGCAGCACTATTAGTCTTACTCTGGGGGATTATTTTCCAAGCAGTAGCAGAAGAGCATTCATCTGACCACTTCAGCCCTGGGCTTCCTCTCAATGTCATGTGATGACCTGTGTACTGACCTTGTCTCTCTTGCTTTTTACCCCCTTTCTGGAACAGACAGCACATTTTCAACTCTGGGATGATAATGCAGCCTTAGAGGTCATCAAATGGATTGATTTCTTGGAAATTTTTACTAATAAATTACAGTTTCTAGATTTATTTTCCCCCCAAAGGAAGCTTGCTAGAAGCGGCATATCTTGTTCTTGTCCTGTTAGTGAGTTGTAGAAATGTTAGCATCTTGGATGAGAAAGCCATGGATGCTGGGGGCTGACAGCTCGGCGATCCATATGGTTTACAATACACAGCCTTAGGCAGGGTTCTTTGGTGTGATTGCTTATAAGAAAATGGGGAAAAATAATGAAAAATAGAGACAAGTGAAAGGTGATTTTTCCTATGTGAGAAATCAGGGTGGTGATGTATGCCCTGTTAGACCTGATTTTTGTTGGCGGTGGTGCCCCTAAACTTGTCGCCCACTAATTCATGGAGGGAGCCTGAATAGACTTACAGGTATACCCCCACAGGGTGGTAAATCGGAGCTGCATCTGTGTTTAACTCTCATTAATTTGCCCAAAGAAAATTATTATGGACTAATAAAGTACCCTTCTTCCATTAGTGGCTTCTCTGTCCATTTACAACAGGGAAAGTTGCTTTATAAAAAAAGACCTAAAGCTTTTCAAAGTACTCTTGACCCCTACTGCTTAGAAATCTAATGTTTCCTCCTACTAGTTCAGGTTAGCTTCTTTATGAAGTTCTGGGTTCTTTTATCCTTTCACCAAAACTTTGCAATCCAAGTCTTACTGGATTAGGCACTCACTTTTGATGTTGGGCTATGATAAAGATAAAAAATAATCTTGCATATATAATTACAATTTCAACAATGAAGCCACTCACATTACATACTGTTAGGACTTGAATTCATAATTATTCAAACTCTAATATTATATAAAATGATGGGATACAAGGAAAATAACCTTCTCAGATGTTGTATAAGTGATCAATAATGAAGAATACTTAACTTCAATTATTCAATCATACAAATAGGTATAATTTATCTGAATGTGTTTATAAAACTCTTCTAGGGCCAGCACTGTAGGAGGTAAAATCATTGCCTTGACACCAGCATCCCATCAGGCACCAGTTCATGTCCTGGGTGCTCCACTTCCAATCCAGCTCCCTGCTCATTGCCTGGGAAAAGCAGCACATGACGGCTTCCCAGCCATGTTGGAGACTGAGATGAACTCCTGGTTACTGGCCTTGATCACTGGGACTGTCTGAGGACTGAACCAGTGGATAGAAGGTCTCTCTGCCTCTGTAATTCTGACTTTCAAGTAAATAAATATTTTTTAAAAATTTAATGGAAAAATGGAATAAACAGATAAGTTTATTATTGTATAAAAAGCTTCTAATCCTGCACATACAAAGAGTCTTCAAAAAGTTTATGGGGAATATCCATTATGAAAAAGTATACATGAATGTCAAAAATTTTGCCTTAAAATAAACTTATCTTTTAAATCAGTTTTCCATTAACTTTTTGAAGTGACTTGCCATTTTAGAGCTAAGCTATAATTATTTACTCTGCTTACCTGTAAATGTTAATTTTATGAGGCTATTCTTGCTAACTCTGTGGTTTGATAAAAGCGATGATTATTTATATTATCGTTTCTCTAGACCCTTGAAATTTTCAGCATTAAGAGAGCTTATCCTCCAGTTTCATAGATATTTTAAAAGTACCCTTCATTTTCCTTTTATATATGGTCTCATTTATCTCAAGTGGCGAGTTGGTTGAGAAGATAGAATGAAACCTTTAGAAGACAAATGATTAAAATGTTAATGAGCAATGCTCATGTATTTACAAGATAGTGTTCACTTGAGCTTGAGGTTTTGTAATCCTGGGTCTAAAATGTGATTAATTTAGACTGGAAGCTTCATCTGCCTCCTTCATTTTCTCTGCTAGATTTGATTTAGGATGACTGTAAACTACCAGAGTGCCTTGGCCTTTCATGTCTCCGAAAGCCTAATAGAGGCTTCCTTGCTATTGAGTGTGATCCTAGAGATCACAAGTCGATGACAATGATTAGAAACTCAGTACGCCAGAGAGGAGCCCAGGTTAAAGCATAATATATCTGATTTTTTTTTTTTTTTTTTTGGACAGGCAGAGTTAGACAGTGAGAGAGAGACAGAGAGAGAGAAAGGTCTTCCTTCCATTGGTTCACCCCCCAAATGGCTGCCATGGCTGCCACAATGTGCCGATCCAAAGCCAGGAGCCAGGTGCTTCCTCCTGGTCTCCCATGCAGGTGGGACTTGGGCCACCCTCCACTGCCTTCTCGGGCCACAGCAGGGAGCTGGACTGGAAGAGGAGCAACCGGGACAGAACCAGCACCCCAACCGGGACTAGAACCCGGAGTGCTGGTGCCGCAGGCGGAGGGTTAGCCTAGTGAGCCAAGGTGCCGGCAACATATCTGATCTTAAAGATCTTAAAGCAGTTGCTGTAAGAACCTGAAGGAGTTCCTAATATCTTTGAAAGGACTAGAATATAAAGCAAAAATTCCTAACTTGTTCTTCAGAAAAGAATGGTTGTGTTATTATGCTTTCTAAAAATGTATGAAATCACACTTACATATGTGTCTATACTAAATGTGTGTCAATTTTTGTCTATTGGAATTGATAAAAATGAACTGTCCTATGACAATCAAACTAAATCTGAGTCATAGAAATGACTTTAATATGCAATTTTGCTTATTGAATTTACTAAAAGATAATTTTTACTTATGTGCCTTGAATTCCTAACCTAATATGGGTAATAAGTCTGATTTTTTTAAGAAACAAATTAACTTCTTCAGCATGAAAAGAGAAACGAAGCCTGCGCTGCAGCTCAGTAGGCTAATCCTCCACCTTGCGGCGCCGGCACACAGGGTTCTGGTCCCGCTCGGGGCGCCGGATTCTGTCCTGGTTGCCCCTCTTCCAGGCCAGCTCTCTGCTATGGCCCGGGAGTGCAGTGGAGGATGGCCCAAGTCCTTGGGCCCTGCACCCCATGGGAGACCAGGAGAAGCACCTGGCTCCTGCCATCGGATCAGCGTGGTGCGCCGGCCGCGGCGGCCATTGGAGGGTGAACCAATGGCAAAGGAAGACCTTTCTCTCTGTCTCTCTCTCTGTGTCCATTCTGCCTGTCAAAAAAAAAAAAAAAAAAGAGAGAGAGAACGAAACGACCTTTACTATTTCTAGTATCTTCATTCCCTAACAAGACATAAGTCGTCTTTCCTCCACTCTCCCTACCTAGCAGCATTATTCCCCCTAATAGCTTCCCACCCATACCTGAAAATAGGTGGAGAGAAGTTGCATCTGAATAGGTGGTTAGGGGCTACTCTAAGTTCTGTAGTGAGCATTGCCTAGTGGTGAGGAAAGAGGCGCTGTGTTGGCTGCAGATGGGCTGTGCAGCAGAATTGCTGGACCTGATCAGCTTCTGGCAGCTCTCTGGACACTGAGCATCAAAGATGGAAATTCTCAATCTGATTCTCCACTCCAACTCAGATCAGGGAAAAACCACTCACAGTATCCTACTTAGAGGATTTTTAAGATCTCTGTATAAAGTGTAATGAGTCATTTTAGAATATCATAGCATTTTCTTCAAGGCTTAAAAATGATTAAAAAAGCTAATATGCATTTTTAAATGAATTTAATCCTGTGTGCTTTTAAGGGGTGACAGGGAAGCCTCCCCTTTCTCCCCATTGGTCTCTTCTTTCTGATTATCCTGTTTTTCAAGTTGTTCCCTGCAGCGTTTACTGCATACATCTGAACTGTGATTTGAGCTCTTACCAAGGAGCTTGGCTTCCAGATTTTATAGTCGTTTCTCACTCATTTTCTCCCCATATCTTCAGAACCATTTTAAAGCTCTTGTTGGTGGGTAAGTAATGATGAAAGGTGGCAGGCAAGTGACCTCTTGTATATTTCTGCAGAAGTAATTAGTGAGTTAGATCCTCCAGAGACATGGGTGATATATTACAGCCCGTAGGTGGTTTGGCATGGCAGATATTACTCCACCCACACCACTCTAATCAACTTACCTATTTCAAAGCAGAGGTAAGACAACAGCAGCAGATGGGAGAAAATGTGTTTCTAAACAATATATGTGTGTCTTCCGGCTTGACACATAGAATCTATAGGCATTCATTACATACTTAATGTCACACTGACAACTGTTGGCAGTGTACATAGATATCAGTAAACCCTTTAATGTATATTGCAACAAACACTTGATAAGGAACTCTGAGCTTGGATTTCACAATAAGAAAAAAATAAATAATGCAAATGAGGCCTACTTACTTTTCACCTTCCCCTAAGGGTAGCCAGGCTTGACATTATCTTCAGAGATATATACTGTGGCATAAGTGAGACCAGAAAATTGAACTTCAGAGAAGCATATTGCTTAGAATAGTAAAGGCAGCATTGCTTATTTCTATGCAAATGTTCTGTTTCCTGTTGACAATGTCAAGCTAAATATTTAATTGATCTTATTAAACATGTTCAGGTATTTTTACATCACAAGTTGTGAATTTAAAATGAGAATATATTGATTAAGATAAGGCTCTGGAATAAAAATTCTTCTAACGCTGTCATAAACTCTCATAAATATCTTGGTTGAAACCACAGCATTTTTCTATCTACAGTTCTGAGGCCAATTTCCAAATTGTTAATCAGGAATGATGGACAGCATATGTGGCTCAAGTAGTGAACAAATATTGAGCTCCTATTCCAAAGGAATGTATTTCTTAATCCTATAATGGGAATGAATTTGGAGTACTAGTTCCTTCCCCCTCACTCCATCTTCCTATCACTGATCTGGTCTCTGAAGAGTGAATGCAAATACTTAGCTTGCATTCTACCTGCACCTGGCCAAAGCCTGTCTGACATCACTAATTGATGAGAGTACTCTTAGCTCTTTGGCTTAGATGTCAACTTAGACCTCTAAGAAACGCTGTTTTGAGATGAAACCTATTCCTTCCTTGTCATTTCAACTCTTGACAGCAATCCTGGCTTGCTGGCTCCTTGTAGACTTAATTCTGAACCCCTTTATGCAAGAACATCTCATCTCTACATTTTTTGGACCCTTTGTTGATTTTTTAATGATAGGAAGCAAATTCCTGTCTTTCTACCTAGTAGAGAATAGGGCCTGAACTATTCAATGTTTTGAGCACCATCGTATTTCTTAGTCCAGATTATTAGTGCCAAAAAAGTAGCATACACACACACACACACACACACACAAAACCAGAGAAAGACTAGTGCTGAAAGCCAAAATAGAGGCAAGCATTTAGCCTAGTGGTTAAGACACCTACATCCCCTGACAGAGTTCCTGGGCTTGCTAAATTTTGGCTTTGCTCCTGAACCCAGTGCAGATCTTGAGAGACAGGAGTGATGGTTCATGTGACTGGGTCCCTGTTACTTACATGGAAGACCTGGACTGAGTTCCTGTCTGATGCCTTCAGTTTTAGTGTGTATGTTGGGTAGGGTGGGGAAGGAGGGATCTTTTGCAACATTTGAGGAATAAACCAGTGAATGAGGGTTCTTGTTCTCTCTCTAAAAATCTGTCTTTCCACCTCTCAGTTAAGTAAATAAAAGTAAAAAAGGGAGAAGAATCCAGTATAGGTTCTTTGCTTTAGCATCTGTTTGCACTGATAACGATATTATAACTGCCAATAATCTCACTCCAGCATTGTCTACCACATGCCTCAACACTTTATGGTTCTGCTCTCATTTCTTTTCTCTAAGAAATAAAACTTAAGCATATAAAAACCACCCATGTCTCAGAGAAGAGGCCAGAGGTTGGAGAATGGATCAGTGAAGAATAGTGATGGTCTCAGTTTAGTTTGTATTTATCCATCCATTAGTTTATTTAGTTTCTACTTAGCATCTCTGATATGTCTAACAAAAATAAAGCAGTGAGCCCAACAGCCTTAAAGAGCTTATGGATTACAATGGAGGAGAAAAAATAATCTTCTTTTAAATATGTATTTGTTTATTTGGGAGGCAGAGTTAGAGTGATTGAGGGAGAAACAGAGGGTGGAGTCTTCCATCCCCTGGTTCACTCCTCCAGATGGCCACAACAGCCAGGTCTCGGCCGGGCTGAATCTTGGAGATTGTTCTGGGTCTCCCATATGGATTGCAGGGGCCCAAGCACTTGCGTCATCTTCTGCTGCTTTCTCATGCATCAGCAGTGAGCTGGAGCGGAAGTGGAGCAGCCAGGACTCAAACCAGTGCACATATGGGATGCTTGCATTGCAGGTGGTGGCTTGACCTGTTAAGCCACACCATGTTATGTTTAAATTGAATCTTGGGGATTTTAGATCTAGTCCATATTTTCTTTCTTGAAGCTGGATGTTGTCAAAGAACATCATAAAACTTTAAATAATTTTTCTATTTATTGAAGTGACTTTGAAACAAAGGTTATTTCAGTTTATTAATTCATATTCTGACATTTAACTATTGCTTTCTTTTGTCTATCATATAAAAAATGCTTTCTTTATATGTAGGTTGATCACCTAGCTTCAGTGAATTTCTATTTCTGAAATAGAAAGGAAAATGTTAAGGAAGGAGACCAAAGTTCTTATAATAGTGTACAGATTACAGCTTTTATATTTTAAAAGTTCAGCATTAATGTTCCATGTGTCAAGAGAGCTTATACTATCTGATTTGAATCTGAAATTAAGAGGAGCTTCTACTTGCTATTAACTGCCTTGAGAGTCAAATCAACATGTATTTAAAAATGAAACCCTTCATCAGTAAAGTGTCCTACTATTTTCTGATATTTTGAATCGCATGGATCACCACGTGCATGAATATGTGACATTATTCACAACAACTTTATATTCCAAAAGGGAATTCAGTGGATTTGTATTTCATGCCTCAGAGGTTCCAGACTCTAGGCTTAGGTACCATGCGCGCAGAGGTCAGTGTGACCCACCTATATTTTCTGTGCTCCGTGTCTACTGAGGCCAGGGACATAGAAAACAAATACTCTAACACTGAGCATTTACCCATCTGCCAGAATGTCCTGGTTCTGTATGACCAAAGGAAAGGGGAGCTGAGAGTTCTAAGAGTAAGTGAGGGAGAATGGAAGAGAGGGAGAGGAAAGAAAGAGATGAGCTAGGGAAAGCAGAAGAGAGAAGAGGAAAAAAGAAGGAAAGAAGGAAGAAAACCCAAAAGGAAAGCAAGATAAAGACACACACACACACAGAGAGAGAAATAGAGAAAAAAGCAGAAAGAGAGAAGCACAGTTAAAACATTGTGCTTATTCCTTCTGCCAAAAAGCACTTAAGTTCACCCATGATCATATTTTGTAACTACATGTCACTGTCTTTGGGCTGCATATACAGAAGTTAATGATTGGGTTGTAATACATGTGTATGCATAATTGAACTACCAGCAAAGTTGCTTTATTATTATTATTTTTTGACAGGCAGAGTGGACAGTGAGAGAGAGAGACAGAGAGAAAGGTCTTCCTTTGCCATTGGTTCACCCTCCAATGGCCGCCGCGGGCAGCGCACCGCGCTGATCTGATGGCAGGAGCCAGGTGCTTCTCCTGGTCTCCCATGGGGTGCAGGGCCCAAGTACTTGGGCCATCCTCCACTGCACTCCCTCCCTGGCCACAGCAGAGGGCTGGCCTGGAAGAGGGGCAACCGGGACAGAATCCGGCTCCTCGACCGGGACTAGAACCTTGTGTGCCGGCGCCGCAAGGCAGAGGATTAGTGAGCCGCGGTGTCGGCCAGCAAGTTGCTTTCTTAAAATGGCTGTATCAGTTTACAGTCCCAACAGCAGCAAATACGGTTCCTATTTTCCCACTCTCACCAGCACTCATCATTGCTTTTGCTATTATTTTATTTCAGTTTTTGTGCATATTGATAGTTTTTCAAATGCATATTAATTCTTTTTATTTTCCTATAGTCAATTACCTACTCATGCCTTTTGTTAAATTATCATATTTGCATATAAATTCTTGGATTTTCAAATTTTCTTTTCCCAGCCTGTAGCCAATCTTTTTTTATTCTATCTATGCAAATTTTGCTTTATAATTTTGGTCACATATTTCATGGTGCTGTGGTCTGAAGGATTTTATCCTCAAAATCTTGCATTGAAACCTAATCCCCAATTTGGTGGTCTTAAGTGGTGGGACATGAGGGAGGTGATTAGGCCGAGAGCCCTGCCTTCATAAATGAGGTTAGAGCCCTTATAAAAGAGCCTAATAGAGCTTACTTGTCACTTCAGCTATGTGAGGATAGAGGAAGAAGAAGCTATCTTTTTTGTAGAGAGCAGCTTTCACCAGACAATGAACCTACTGGTGCCTTGATCTTGAATTTTATGGCTTTCCGATTTGTCAGCAGTAAATTTCTGTTGTCCATAACAATATGGGCATTTTGTTTGAGCAGCCTGAATGAACTAAGACAATGGGAGTATTGGTTGAGTCCAAGCTCTGCTTCCAGTTCCAGCTTCCTGCTAGTGTGCTCTCTGCTGGGAGGAGGAGGAGCATATATGTACATGCTTACTTGGATCCCTGCCACTTTCAGGCTCCTGGCTTTGGCCTGACCCAGCCTCGGTTATTGTTGGCATTTGGGGAGTGAGCCAGCAGATGGAAATCTCTTTCTATCACTGTCTTTTCCTTTTCCTCTGTCTCTCTTTCAAAAAGCTGAAAATTAATAAGTAAATTTAAAGATCGTATCTTGTATTTACTATCTGTATTTAACAATTTCAGCATCTGCCATCCTTGGTGGAATTTAATCCCATTGTTTTATACTAAGGTTGGCTTGCTGGCTGCCTTGTGTTCTTGGTGGTTTTTGATGCTGAGTGCATTGTGACATCTAAATCTGTAGGCACCCTAGAAGCCTCAAATGGAGATACTTTGCTTCACAGAGGATTTTTCATCTGCTTCTTTTCCTGTTGCATTACCATAGAATACAAAAATGTGGGAGTACACATTTTAATTCATTCACATTTTAGATATTTTCACAAAGGCTGAATTTACTCTCATTCTTTTAAGTGGAAATAAAGCCCCTGGAGGTAGTCCAAAATTTTCTGGGAAATACTTGAAAAGGTGTTGGTTGCTGCCTAAAAGCCATGAATACACAACATCAAGTAAGATGTGCTATAACCCATGTTTTAGTGACTCTAAAGAATTGGTTCTTGTGGAAACCAGGCAGCATTGTTGAAAAACGCTACCTATTGAAAGAAACAGTTTGCTTGATCTCTGGGGTAATGTTTTTTAAATTCTATGCTGATTCTTGATGCAAGCTTAATCATATTTTCTGTCACTTAAGATTGTGTTTGAAAAGTGATATCATAATTCAAAGGCCCATAGAAATCAAAAACCAAAGTAGAATTGTAAGCATATATTTTCTCCACTGTGACGTTTGTGACTCTTGTGACATTAGGTGTCATACATACATATGAGGTGGGGAAGTGGTGTTTTCACTAACTTTGGAAGATCTTTTTCTTTTCAGAGTGTTGATATCCAATGGACACTGAAAGTGAAATCATCAGAAAATTTGCAGCCAATTTCTAGTTTTTGAGCATAAAGGCAAAAAAGAGGAAAGTATAACCGGCTAACGCTGTTTATTGTGACAATATAGAGCATAATGCTTGACAATTGCTGGAAAGAAAGGAAAAGCACATCAAAAACATCCTGTTTCAGAATACGGTGGGGAAACAAGTTGAATTGAAGTTGAATTGAAAATCTTAGCCTGAATTCATTATCTTTGGGGAGAAATCTAATGTTTTGCTCAATTGATATGTAATTTAAATATTTTCTTCTCCTGTGCCATTCTGTTCATTTCTGGTAGATTGTAGCATGATATATGATACATTCTAGACCCTACATTTTGTTTTCTAATACTATCCTTCACTGATAAGAACCAGGACTCCCTGCAGAAGAGGTCATTCTGTGTTTGGGATACAAATGCTCCAGATGAATATTTAGGATGCTAGATGAAAGTCATGCCTGTCAATCTATCAATATGACCAATCATTTGGTGCCTAGCACTACTCACAAACACATACACATGCAGAGAGGAGGGTGGGTGGGTTCAGATTATCAAGTAAAGGAAACTGAAGAACTTTTATTTGTTAAAATGTAAAATACTTAGGATTTGGCAGTTTGTGTTGATGTTGATCTACCTGAGATGTTAAAGACGTTCCCTTATTGAATGGATGCTCTAAAAGCATAAAATGGAGGTAAACAGGAGGATAGAACCTCAAATAGTCTGAACTTGGGTCCTGACCTTTGCTTCACCCAGCTTAGCAGAAAACATTCAGGAATGTTCAGGAGTTTTGTGCTAGTGATCTGGGCATGACCATCCTCAGAGTGCCTATTTCCTCATGGAAAGCTTTGCAGAAGTATGGGGGAGCTCCACCCTTGTCTTGCAACACCTTTGTCTATTTCTGCCTTTAAATTTATCTCTGTCCTTTTCTGCATCTTTTCCTGTCAAAAGAGACCCGTTGTATTTTCTGTGCATGTTGGCATCCATCACATCTTGGTTTCATTGTGGCAGCTACCACACTGGCTCCCCAGTGGACTCGATACTCAGTGATCAAATTCAGAGGCCTGTTTTATGGTCAGAGGCAAAAATATAACATGATAACAGATTTTGCGTGTTACTGTTAGGTACTCCTTCACTAAGCTGAAAGTGTCTAACCATCAGGGCAAGAAAATAAAAATAAGATCATGCAGAAAAGAATTCATCTTAGTGAAAAGGTTATCTGGTTATGTGTGCTAATTAATTATATTGTGTGAAGATAGAAGTTAAGTGTTAATTAATAGGGAAATGACAGACATATTTCTGGACATACAGTATTGGAGAAGGTAAAGATGAAAAGGGCCTACTGGCAAGGAATGCCATGAAATACCTCCACAGAGCAAAGAGCAACAAAAGAGTACTACTTTATGAATGTGAATGCTAATCCACTTAATAACATGTGTCTCTGAGACCTCAGAATAGAGGTAAAGAAGCAGAGTGAAAAACAAAACAAAACAAAAACTGAGCTGTTGAGGAATGGGATGAACTTGATTTAGCTGAGAGCAAAATGAATTATTTGCTTGAGCATTCTCCAAAGAAGAGGAAGGTAGCATTCCAGAAAGCACAATGTATTCTCCTTGGGGGAAAGGGAGATGTTAAAAGGCTTTACCATCACACTAGAGCAGATAATTAGGCAATTACAACCATTAAATTTGACAGAGCATTAGTTTAAATGCGTTACTCACTAGAATTCTCAAGGAAGTAACAAATAGTACAAATTTAGTGAATACTTCTGATAACTCATGGGAGATAACATCTCACCGGAAGTCTGAAAGGTGCTAATGTATTCTCATATTTGAAACAAACACATACAAACACACACACACAAACACACACATACACATACACACACACACAACACACAACTGGTCCTAGGTAAAACCTCCACAGGAAAACTTGAATCTCCTGGAGTCCTTTTCTGTTTTATGTGCAATTATTGCAGTGTGCATACAGATATTAACTCACCAATCATCAAAAGACCTTTCAAAAGTTGACAGCAAATATCATTTAAGCACCTCCTACTTTGATTTAAGGTGTTAAAACAGAAACTAAAAAAAGTCACCTTGAAAGCTAGTGAAAAGACAAAGCCTCAGATTTAAGCAATTGACAATTACCAAACATTTGGTAATGCATAATTTAGTAACAGCAGAGTCAACTCAGAACCCTGTCCTTACCACCTTGCTATAAAATGTTTAAATGGATTACTGCTGCGTTTTTTAAAAGCATGAAATATTGTGACACTGAGTAATAATTTAATATGATAATCACATAGTGCTGATCACTTACTTTCCAAATTCCACATGTTGTACAGGTCTTACTAGATCCTGCTGGGATACATATGAATTATTACTGCTTGGGATAAAAAAGTTTTAAAGCAGTAGCCATGTCCATGTTCGTTGCGACAGCAATCCCAAATTCTTTGTTTCTAATGGACAGATGCAACACTATGGCATCACTGGTACACTGGTACACTGGTACACCATCAGCTACTCTCACTACGTGCTCATGAGGATGGATGGCTTAGGTCAGTGACAGAATAATTAGGGTCCATTGTGAGTTTTCACTTTTTCTGACCTATGTTTGTTGGGCTGTCAGGTTGAATGGGGTACAGACCTGGCTTGTTCATCTCCATGTCCTCTCACAGTATTGATGCATATATTCTACATTAATTCATTGTTGGTTGAAAGAATGGGTGAATACAGGGTCCTTTCAAAATGTTTTTTTTCTTCTGACATTCTCCATAAATGAGTTTGCGATCCTTGGTACATAATCCCATATTGATCACGTGTGGGTTTTTTTTATTTAAAGATTTTACTTATTTGAAAGGCAGAGTTAGAGAGTTAGATACACTGGTTCATTATCCAAATGACTGCAATGGGCAGGGCTGGGCCAGGCCAGAGCCAGGAGCCAGGAGTAAGGAGTTTCATTCAGGTCTCCCTTGAGGGTGGCAGGAACCCAAGTACTTGCACCATCTTCCGCTGCTTTCCCAGGCACAGCAGAAGGGAACTGGATAAGAAGTGGAGAGTCAGGACTTGAATTGACACCCAAAAAATGTGTGTGTTTCCCTTTCACTTTTACCTGTTATTACTATCAGTAAATCCAATCATAATGCAAATATAAATAGTTTAAAAATTCATTATTATTTTACATATTATAATTATAAAATTAATGCTTATGGGCTGCATATCAACAATGTGATTTTATTTTAATTCCATTTCTCAAATCTACTACTGCATTTTGTTTTCTAAGTACCTTTGTGATTTTTTTTTTTTGGTGTCAGCATGAGGTTACGAGCTCATAAGGAATTCGGCATAACTTACTAGAAAGGATACTGTGGTTTGTATTTAGGAAACCAGGGACTTTTCTCAGGTTTGATTTGAAGAAATAAATTAACTGGTCTGAGCTAAACATTGTCATCTAAAAAGTGGTGATATATAAAATAATTCAACTCCACTAACTCTAAACATCAGTTATTCTAGAACAAATGAACTGGGTAAACATTTATTGGTTGCTGTGTCATTGCAGTGTACTGAAAAAGAGAAAACCAGTCTTAGATGAGGTCCAAACACTTTTTTGTGCAGTGCTATCTGGTAGAACTTTCCACAATGATGGGAAACCCCTATAAGCTGCACTGTGTAGGGGACAGCAAGCACATGTGACCATGGAACACTTAAAAGGTAGCTAGTATAATTGAGTGCAGTTTTTAATATTATTTAATTTTATTCCTTCTTATTCAGTAGTCATGTATGTTGAGTGGATACTCTGTTGGACAATTTAGGTTTATAGAAACAAACACACATACATACACAAAGAAACAAACACATAAATAAAGAAATAAATTTGAAAAGAGAGGTACCATAGGGAACAGAAGATTAATTTAAAGAACCTTCTCTATATTTTACGGAAAGAATCTCCCATAGATGTAAATAAAATAGACTGAAAATGCAGTAGATAGTATTCAACAAGATGAGTTGAGTACTGGCATTTTTGTGTAAGATTTGTATCTTTCAAATAGCGTAGAAACATCTGCCGGTGAAGGCACTCTTCTATAACACCTAAAACTACTTAAATGCAGAATTTTACCTAAAAATTAGGAAAATACTGAGGAACAAAATGGACACAACAATGTTTTGAATAATCAGTTCACAGGATTCTGAATGACTGTTATACCATATAATGATGAGTACAGGGATTTTAAAAAATCATAAAGGCTGTAATCAAAAGGAAGCACAATATAAACTCTGGCTTGACAAAACAACAAGGGGAATGATGATGCAAATGTACTAACATGTTACAATTCTCACTATAAAATACTTTGGCAAAAAATAGAATAACAAAGTTCATGCATAGAAACATTTTAGAAAGAAACAAGAGATGACTCGTTAAAGCAAGGACTGAAATCAGTTATTTTGGCAGACCATAATGAAAGTAAAGCCAGGTTTGGAACAGCATGCTATATACACTTCAGATCACCATATTATTCTGTTGAAAGGATAGCACTGAAATTGAAGAGGTAGGATGATGGGCAACAATACACACTTAAAATCTGAGAGGTTAGAATATTATTCATGAAGGATGATTATCCAGGGTTTATCTAACATGGTGTCAAAAAAATAAAAAAAAAAAAAGATGACTTATGAGAGAATCACAAGAGATTTATTGGGGCCTACAAGGAAAGATTGGATTGACGATGACCTGAAATTGAAAAGGAGAAAAATGTAAATTACTAAACACTTTCCAATATTGAGGTCAATCAGAGAAATAGAAAAGCTTGCCAAGTGTGGCTATGAAGAACTACGAGTTAGCGTATTCAGAAACTGAATAATTTAAACATGGAATCCTCCTGTTAGTAAAAGTTTATAAAGCAATTTAGCACTATAATGATGACAACAGAAAATGGAGTAATTGGGCTATAGGGTACATTTTCAAAAGGACCGAAGGTACAGTTTTGGTTTTTTTTTTTTTTTTTTTTTTGACAGGCAGAGTTAGACAGTGAGAGAGAGAGAGAGAGAAAGGTCTTCCTTTTTCCGTTGGTTCACCCCCCAAGTGACTGCTATGGCTGATGCGTTGCGGCCGGCATGCTGCGCCGATCCGAAGCCAGGAGCCAGGTGCTTCTCCTGGTCTCCAATGGGGTGCAGGGCCCAAGGACTTGGGCCATCCTCCACTGCACTCCCTGGCCACAGCAGAGAGCTGGCCTGGAAGAGGGGCAACAGGGACAGAATCCAGCGCCCCGACCGGGACTAGAACCTGGGGTGCCGGCGCCGCAGGCGGAGGATTAGCCTAGTGAGCCGTGGCGCTGGCTCGTTCTTTCTTAAACACTTGGAAAGCAATGCCGGAGGAAACATAAATAGGAGGGACATTGACATTGGGATTGAAAAGACTTAACTGTGAGTTCTCTTGTTGCTACTAACACTCATAACTTGGTAGAGTTGCTTGTCGTCCGTGATCTCAGCATCCAAGAAACAGGCTTCATGAGAGCCACTTGAGGGGCTTGCTGCGACATTTAATGAAGTAAGGGATGGAACCTGCCTAGCGCTGGGTCTGAGCCTTTTGTTCCTTAGACACATGGACACCAATTCCTCCAGCTGGATGTACGTATACACACCAGTCAGAGCAATTCCCTGTGAAACCTATCAAGCTCAGGACTGTGAAAGGCATTCCCATGCCATAGAGGCAGGAAGCTTCAGGCTCAGCCCTGGAGGAGTCAGTCTGGGAAATGGACTCATGAGTAGCCATGACCTAAGTCACACCATAAGAAGCATTCTAAACTAACATAAACAGCCCAACTGGGAAAGGGACAGGCCAGATGGAGAGGGATTGAGCAGAAAAGCATCCATGTAAAATAGGATAAGCTCTTTATGTTGATGCTGGTGTGCTCCTCCTACTGCAGTACTTCCAAGAGCTATTCTATTGCTGCTTTAACAAGTATTTAATGCTCATTTATCCAGTCTCTTCATGAAGGAGGTGCAGGGGGGACCCGGCTCTACCCAGTCATAATTCTACCTAAGATCTGTAGGAGAGCTTGCCAAGCCTCTTTTTGCAAGATTGTCCTTATACGGTTATGGAGTTAGAGTAAATGTCGTGGCGTGGCCCCATGTCTTACCATGTTTATATCAAAAGGAGCCTCAAGAGCAGATCAAAAGAGTGGAAACTTCTAGAAACAGGAACACACAGACAGAAGGGTGCCTCTGTGCTCAGGGAAGGGGTAGTCCTTCGTGTTTGGTCTCAGTCACAGAGTAGAAGGAATCTGGCCATGAGGAGGGCATTTGGCCTCCGGAGTGAGTATCTGCGTCAGGTTTCTTTCCTCGCCAGCAGTCGGAGCCAGGCTTTTCTCTCAAGAGCTGCCCTCCTGCTGCAGAACCACAGTGGGCTTGTAAACCTCAATGCCAAGTAAATGTTTGGTTCATAAGATAATAAGTAGGCAAAATATTTAAATGAAAAGATTTATATTTTTCTGAATTGCACATTTCTAGTAATTTATATTTAATACTTGCTCTTTTTGTTGAGACTGACATTTTAGCTGCCTTCCTCAAAGATGCACTTTTTATGAAGAAACTAACGCCTTGTTGCTGCAAAAAAGAAACTGAGCATTGCGTTTACACCGTATTTGCCTTTTATCCAGATGCTCTTGATCTCTTCTGCAATGTAATTGAAAGAGAAAGATGATATTTAATTAATACGAGGAAGCTATTTTCCTTTTTATTTTCAAAATACCTTGCCATTTGAGATTCAAATGTCCTTCTACTTCTTCTTGTCCAGAGAGTCATAAAAAGCAGATAATTGTTAGCAACCATTAGAATTACCTAGTGCTACTGAGACCTTATAAATACTAAGTCAGATTTTTTAAGATGATTTCATTTAATAAGCTATCCAAATATAATAAAATGCCCTCTAGATCAAATTTATAAGAGAGCCACCCAATAAAATATTGGTAGCTTTCACAATCTGCATTAATTCTTTACCCTCATTTTTTTCCACCTTGCAGATTTATTTATTTATTTTTTCCTAATGGCAACCAATCTTTTTATGTTATTTAAACTAAGGTAGCAGATCTTAATTATTGTGCAGATCTTAAGGATAAATTTAATTTTAAGCAAATATAACCAAAGTTCCATTAAAATATCATTTTCCTCAACCTGAAAATTTCCCTCATTCCCCTATGCCCCTTCTCAGTCCCCACTGCCCTGCTGGAGGTAGACTGATTTCTACCACCATAGATTAGCTTTGCCTATTTATGAACTTCATCAAAACAGAATTGAAATCAGACATGTCTCCCTAAAATTTATATAAAAATGTGGCCCCTTAAAGTTCCCGGAAGTGCTATCTGGGGTGCCACATGTGCTACCGGAATTTGGGGTGCCATATGATTTCGCCAAATGCTTATTAATAAATCTCCAATATTAATAAGCCCAAGAGGGTTCTTGCCTAATATTTAGAGAATTCTAAATACCGGCACAGATA